CGGGTGTTGTGCGCAGTCGCATTGACATTGGCCCCAAGATCCCGCCAGGGCGCTGGTCCCTTTGGGAGCACCTTGGCAGGGCTGGTTTGTCCCAGCCTCCCGCACCGTGCGAGCAGCGCACACCTGGACACTGCGGGAGAAGGGATGTGTGCGGAAGAGAAAGCTGGGCAGGGGAGAGCAGAGTGGAAATGAAAGCACAGCCGGGCGGCAGCGAGCCCTGAGCCAGCGCATCCGTCTGTGCAGACGAATGGTTTTCCGCATACTAGCCATGCTGGTGCCCTTTATATCAAACATTGTGACTGTGGCGACTGGGGGCACCCAGGTACCACATAGGTGCATCATAAAAAGAATGACGTTTGTGTGGAAATGCTAGTTCTATAATTTTTCTTCATGTTTTCCTTCACAGACCTTTGGCTCTCGGTGATGGACCCTCTGAGCACTCCCTTACCCGCCAGCGAGGTCACGGAATACAGGCGGAGCAATTCCTGCTACCACATCCAAGATGGGTTCCTGTCTGCGACGCTCCCGGTGATGTACTCCCTTATCTTCATCATCGGGCTGCTCAGCAACAGCCTTGCGCTCTGGGTCTTCTCCTGCGGCGTGCAGCGGACAACCTCCATCACGGTGTACATGAGGAACCTGGCCCTCTCCGACCTGCTGCTCTCCCTTTGCCTGCCCTTCCGCATAGCTTACCATGACAAGAGCGAGCCCCGCGTCTTCTGCAACGTGGTCGGGGCCTTCTTCTACCTCAACATGTACGTCAGCATCACGTTCCTCAGCCTGATCAGCCTGGACCGCTACCTGAAGATCATCTGGCCCCTCAAAAAGTTTAGGATTCACACCGTGTCCTGTAGTTCCAGGGCCTCTGGGCTGGTTTGGTTGGTGCACTCAGCTTTCATGCTGCCTTTCTTTTTTGAGACACAAGGAAAAGGACCTTGTGACCATAAATGCTTCCACTTCAGGAGCAAAAGCCCTGTAGCAGCAGCCTTTAACATGGTCGCAGTAGCCACTTTCTTTATCCTGCTGCTGCTCTTCCTCTACTTCTACAGCAAGATATTTGTCAAGCTCCATAGAGTCTCCTTGGTGAACGCTCAGCAGCTGAACAAGAGGACTAGCATGAAAGCCATCACCAGGACCTTCGTAGTCCTCATCATCTTCATCGTTTGCTTCACCCCGTATCACGTTGTCCGTATTCCTTACATCCTCGCGCAAGTGGGTGTCATTTCTAGCCTGTCCTTGACGCAGGATCTCCACCTCGCCAACGAGCTCGTGCTCTGCATCTCAGCCCTCAACAGCTGCCTGGACCCAGTGATCTTCTTTTTCCTGTCCAGCAGCTTCCGGAGGGCCGTGCTCTGCACCGTCCAGGGAAAGCTGACGAGAGCTGTCCTGAGGAACCAGGGAGGGCTGAGCTACAGGGGCTCTGTGACCGAAGCCTAGGCCTTCCAGGGGGGACCAAGGTCTTGAGCGTGGGATGTTCTCATCAACAATTTGACTGCTGGTCTTTACCACATGAGAGAGAGATGGAGGAAGAAACTGAAACCTTTTCAAGCTTCTTCCGCTGGCACCGTCAGGGCT